AAGAATAGAACACGTAAGTTGAAAGAATTTTTTCCTTTTTGTACTTGCAAAATACAATTACATGCCTTTTGTGTACTATTAAAAGGATGTGGATTTCTCGATCGTGCAAACAGAATACAATAAAGGTAAACACTAGTACGTTCCTATTTAATCAACATAACTTCTAATAATCAGAAAACTTTGAAATTGAATTGAACACTAAATCTTACTAAATATGAGATCATTAAAAGTCTGATCTCCTCTACAGTAAATATTATAATGAAAGACAATAATATTTTTTGGGGGAAGACAATATGTTAAATTATGTATCTTGGCGTGACAAATTGTTTAGGAAGACTGAAATTGTGTACAAATTGTAGTAAAAGAACAATATGAAGAAAGTTATTTACAGGCAGACAGATGAACAACTGACACCTTTCCTTCACAAAAGCTCTTCTGGTCTTCGAGAGTAGAACTATCATTTGCATCGAAAGCTTGTAATCTACAATAGATTTAAAAATAACCCTAATTATCAGGAAGACCCCTGACTCCCATTTCTTATATCAACCGTTTGGTGTTTGGTAACTGACTAAAGTTAGTAATTCGAACTCACGACCTTCCGCTCACTAAGAATAAAAAAAGGTGAAGATAACGAAACAGTGACCGGTCTAAACAAATTTACAAACAATACAAATCTGGTAACAGGGCATAAAACACGGACCCCCGGAAATTCCAAAGGTGGGATCAGTTGCCTAAGAGTAAGGATCCCCTGTTGACCGTTCACACCCGCCGTGAGCTCTATGTATTGATCAGGTAATCGGTGATAGGTTATATTTGCTAAAGGTCATTATAATGACCATAAAATTTACTTTTTAAATTTAAAATTAAATAGATTGTTAAAATTCTTGTGTTAATCATAGCCTGCCTCGATTTAAAAAATGATCGTACTCAGGGCATGCTCTTGAGTATCGAATAAGTTGGGAGACGTGAACACCAAATGCAGGTAATAACTGAATATAACTACATAAACAAGAAAGTTGACGATGGAAAAGCTGACGTCATCTCGTTAAGTTGCTAACTGGCACTTATCGTCTATAGTCAGTCAAACATCCAGATATGAAACAGATGTGACAGACTTTGTGGTGTCTTTTAAGTTCACTGGGATATACTGAGTCGACATATGAATGGAAGTAACTATTGTTAATTGATAAAACGTCGTCGATATATCTGAATGTCGAATTGAAGGCCACAACAAGAACCTAAATATGTACGAGGGGTGATCAACAAGTTCCAATTGAATTGCTTCCATAAAAGAAATAAAATTTGATTTCAGTGTTCATTATTTTTTAAAGTAGTCTTCGATTTTAATGCACATCTTCCACGTTAGATGCCCGTGCGCGAATCACGTGATCCAGGCGGTCACGTGACATGCTCCGTAGCGTTCTGTTAACAATGTTTAAAGATTTTTCCGAGTCTTATACTTTCCATGAAAGTTATTTTTTATAACAAGAACAGTCTATTTGTCAGAAATGGCTAAATCTCGGCAATAGGATGGGTGGATAAGGATATCCTTTCCCAGGATGAGCATGGTGACCATCAAAACCCGAGTCCTCTGTCTTGGGAGCGTCGTTTATAATCCAATGTGGATAGAGCATGGACGCCTTTTTTTCTTATCATATCTGATGTTTCAAGTCTAAAGTAAACGATATTTTAGTGATTTTATAATTATATTATTGTTAAGAAATTCTACTATTTTTTCTAATTGTAACTTGGCAATCTTTCATAACAGATTGCTCAACTAAGGACACATCTTTTCCCCAGCTTGCTTTCACTGGGCAACAGAACAAACATCATTTTTAACCATCTCCCTTCCTTCGCTAAAACAATCAATCCAATTAATGATTGAACTTCTGGTAAGTCTTTTGTCTTCATAATCTTTGTACAAATTATAATATGTTACTGCAAAGGAATTTCCAAGATATATGAAAAACTTTACAGCCGTTCGTTGCTCGAGTACGTACGACTGAGTAAACCATTTTTTGTCACAAGTCGTCTACACATAGACGTCATTTTCACATTGTGACGTCAAAACATCACATAACATCTGCTATTTATAGAAAATTTGTATGACTTCCTGTGCCAAATTTCATTCTGATCTGAATTGTGGTTTTGTAAATATAGAGATAGTTTCCGAACTTTTTGATCACCCCTCGTACTTTTAAGAAGTATAGAACCAAATGGTGCATCTGTATCTGGCTGCATTCAGAATATGAGTTAATATATTTTTTTAAATAAACAAACTGAAGAAGCTATTTTAGCCCTCTTATTTAAGAAGGAATTTTAGCCTCTTATTTATAGAAAAAAAAGAGCTGAATTTAGGAAAACAGTGAGAGATTTCGATTTAAATTTACAGCTCAATGAAAGGTCAGGCAATTCAAATGACCGTTGTGCATGGACAATGAGATTTTGTTCAAGTCCAGTTCCTTGACATGCATCTTATGAGACGGAAACTTCTTCAGCTGAACCATACTATCAGAAGTGTTAATTAAAATGGATTGCAACTACAATAAACCAAAAGCTCAAAGACTAGTTTTTACAAAAATAGTATAGTGATATGAATAATTCCAGGAAAGTTATTACATATAGAATTATTAAAGCAAAGTTTGAATGTGAAAAATACTTAACTATTTTACCAAAAACATTAAAAAACATCTTTTCAAAATTCACAGTAACCATCGTCTTCCCGTAGAGGTGGGTAGATGAAAAAATATTGAAAGAAATGAGTGTGCTATTTATATAATAATAATCAAATTGGAGACGAATTTCATTACTTACTGGAATGTAATGTATAATGTAATATTCGAAAATATTATTTACATCCAAATATAATAAAATTCTGTAATTTGATGACAAATACTGATCCAGCATTCTTAAGAAAATTATGTATATTTATCACGAAAATTTTTGACACTGTCTGTCCTCCTGTAATCTCTGCTCGTCCACAATTATTGTAAATATGTATATATGTACCTCTTGTACCATTCATATGGTTTTTGATAGAATAAATGAATGAATGAAAAAGAAGGGAAGGAAGCCAGGGATACGACAAGAGTTCTACATTGAATTTCCACTCCCTCTTTTAAACAAAGAGATATTTTACAAAATTTGAACTTTTTAGCACACTGACGCACATGCAAACGTCGACTAAACTGTATACTCGTATATACTAATTCCTTCTCTGGACGGATTAAGTATAATCTCATTGCAAAGATTATAAACTTCTTTTGTTTCCCAATCGAAAAGTTGCCAAATTTTCATTATACCTGACCATATACAGGTATTTGATGCAAATCCTCATTAAGAAATATATCGACTGTAATAAAGGAAAAAAGCCCGTTTAATTGCGTTATATGAATAATATTGATTACCGGATGTGAGAGGTAGGCGATATTGTCAAATTCTATAGATTTTCATATTAATTATTTTACCTTTTTGAATTAAATGTTAATTGTAATGCATTGTACGACCACATTTTTTTTCAGAAATGTTTAATTCTACACTTGAACTGAAAATTAAAAACTTCGTTAAAAAAATTGTCGCAGCACTTTCATGTGTACATGTGTAAAACAAACTCGGAAAGTAAAATTTTGTGATCCGTCATATGCTTTATAATATTCAGAAAATTGGTCTCTGTCTTTGTGTGACATATAGGGCTTTACTTTAAAAAAAAAAAAAGAATCACTACATATTCAACAGTGAGATAATAGCATCTCATACAGTGGCGGATCCAGGAATCTTGAAAAGGGGAGGGGGCGATAATAAATAAATGGAGGTGGGGTAGGGGCCCACGGCCACACACAAAAAAAAATGATTTATTAAATTTTATGAATATTTTGGACACAAAAAGGGGGGGGGGCTCTAAACTAAATAACAAACTAAATATGTAACTTCCTTTTTTTTTTTTTAACTCTTTGTAACTAATATCTACATGTACTTAATTAGACATCAGTATTGAAAATGGTTTCTTGTAATCCCCGACCTGTTTATCTGGTACGGATCTGTAAACTAGGGCGTTTTTTTAAATTATTTACTTTAATAATCAACATTTATATTAACCATGTTACAAGCAGTGTTACTCTATTTAGAAACTTAATCTACTAAATCTCATTAATCTCCTTTGGGACTGAGTGATCCTCGTGTATAATGTTTGTCTGTAATTGGATTAACACAACTAGTCTACCCGGTGGTTTAATCCATTGTAAGTGTGAGAATTTCTGAGGAAAAGGGACTCCATGCTAATAGTACTTTAATTATATTTTTGCGGTTCCATCCAGGGTTATTAGAGTTCATGTAGTCAAAAGTTAAAAATTTTGAATCATGGTTTTAAAAAAAATTATTGGTTTTAATACCAATAATGAAAGTAAACCTTTTTAGTCTTACATTTTTGTGAATTTTTAACCTCATCATTTCATCCTTATGCAAAGAAAATCATACGTGTTTAACTGTTGAATTTACCCGGTATTTCGGTACTTGTTTGTCATCTGGGAATATGAAAGTTTATTTGAAAAAAATGAAATCGAGAATAAAATGTAAATAATGAAAAAAAAAAAAAAATTAACACGACAACCCTAGTCAAAAAATAAAAGAAGCTAGTGGGATTACGAAGTGGGAATTATTTTTACGTCGTGATGGAAAAACTACTTTGTAATGAGCTGCGTTATTATCACATGTAAAACAATGAAGTTTAGAAATTTTCCTCTTCGAAAGTAATTCAGAAAGAATAATCTGATCTCCGATGGAACTGCTGAAAACAAATATATAAATTATTCAACATCTCAATCACATACACAAACAACTGAAACTATGAAACTAAAAATATTTTGATTTATCATATAAAAAAATTTAAAATCTTGAACATTTTCGAGCATATTTTAAAAATAATCTACTCTAAACATAAACTAAGCCTACTATGTCACCAATACGCAATATTTTTTTTTTTTATACTTACAGAAACCACAACCATGTCGCGTCCAAATTCCGTTAAAAATGACAAAGAGGTCAACGCTGTCATCTTTAATATGAAGGAACAGAGATGTCTCTTGAAAAATTTACATACACTTGATGCAGAAGCCTCATATTCGTTAAAATTGATCGACCTAAATAACCGTGGAATCAAACTCTTCTACCGACGGTTCAAAGACAAAGTGAACAAAATTAAGTCCCATCTCCAAACGGACGAAATTGCTCATCTCAAAATTCTAGATGAAAGTGGCAAAATGAAAGAGCTTGTGAAGCCCTTAAACATAACAGGTGCGCTGAGAATCGCAGATGCAGAGAAACGTCTGAAACTTCAAGGACGCGATAACCAAAGAGTGACAAGAAGCGCGATGCATAGGAAAAGTAGTGAAGCATTCCTCGAATCGCCGCGAATGCTTCGTCCAAACACTTGCATGGGTAGTCTTAGAAGAGATTCAGTACGCCCAAAAAGACCAAGAAGTCTGTCAACGGGACGGAAAAGTCCAATTATTACTTTATCATCCCCAGTGGCTGAAAAGCAGTTAAAAGACGAATTAAGCAACCAGGGGATTAGTGACACCATGAAACTCGATCAAGCTGCGAGTAGCCCTGTTGCGAATGAAACGAAAATGCTGAATGCTCCTACCTCAACAAATTCTCCTGAGAGTCAGCCGCAAAATACACATCAACCTTCTGCTCATTCGGTTACGGAAAATCAGTCTGAAACTGAAAAACTGAAGCCTGCTTTTAACCAGACTGCAATCCCACGAGTATTAGTAACACCAATTGACTTAAGTCAAATAACGGAAGGTTACGGAAATTCACAGCAACCCGAGGAGTCTAATAAAAATTCGCAAAATGAAAAATCATCAAACAAAAAAGTCACGATAGTGGAAGATTTTGAGACATTCCGAAAATCAGCTGTTGAAAAAAGATGTCAAAGCAGAGGTTCCTCGATATCCAGAATGAGTGCCAATGCAGCCATGAAAGCAGGATTATTTTCTTGTCATATGCACAGTCAGGATCAATTGAAAGAATCTGCAAAATCACTCTCAAATCAAGGGGATCACTTGGGAAATTACATAATAGATGATCCGTATGAAGAACGCCGTCGAATGCTACTTGATATTGAAAACTCTTATGCCAATAACTTGCTGGAAAGAAAAGAAGAGTTTTTAGATGAACTTGATGCATATATCACGATGCAAAAAACAGTTGTTCCAAAGAATCCTGCTGCAGGAGACGGCGATCCAAATGATCCACTTCAGACGCCAAAACATGGAGAAACTTCATTAGAAAAGCTTACCCGGCGGGAAATGAGACTTTTGCGGGAACAAGCAAGGCGTCTTTCGCAGGCAGAGGCTAAGCTTCGAGGGTTAGATTTATGGGAGGATAAACCGAAATGTAGGTATAAATAGGTGAAAATCTGAAGAGGTTGCAATGTTTTTGGACAAAGACTAGTTCGTTGATACTATATATCTAAGTAATTTATAGGTACGATTGTTAAGTTCACCAGAACCAACATTTTTTTCTGATTAAATGAAACTTTGCAGGCTAATTTCTAAGAAATTTATCAATTTATCAATTTTGAAGGAAAGATAATCATGTTGTTCAAACAAAAAACATGTCATTTTCCAAGGGAAAATAGTTATGAAATAGTGAAAATACTGTGTTATACTATCTTAAAATCCATATAGATTCAATTTTTTTCTTAAATTATGACCCCTGATGTTTGAATAGGACTGATTGAAAGGGTTTAAAGATTAAGAATTGTTTACAATGTTGTCCAACAAAGCAAGGCTCTAATTGCTAGTAGTAGTAGTACTAGCGTATGACTCCCTCTGGAATTAGCTAAACGGCGTTGCTGTAATAGGTATCATGGTCTCTTTCTGTAAAATAGGTGAACCCTGCAGCCTATAGCTTTGCTCTTTTATATACCAGTACTAGTGCCTTTTGTGGGGTATGTGACGTAGAGCTCAGCTGTCAATCAGGTTTCTAGAGCTTCACTTGTAGTGTCTCGATTCCCTTAGGCTGAATTCCATATTCTAAATACAGAAAGGTATAAATGCCGCCCGCGTGGTGCAGTGGTTAGAGCGTTTGCTCTAGAGTCGCGGAGTAGGGAGTTGAACCATACGTCGCGGGTTCGAATCCCACTGTGGGACGCGGAGACCGGTCCATCGGAGATGACCGTATAAATCGAGGTCGCGTGTCGTATAGTACATGAATGTACTGGCACGAAAAAGATCCCTCACTGCTCAATGGCCCTGAGTGCCGAGTATAGGACAAAATTTGCAGCTCTCCACCAGCAAGTGGTGGCGTCTCCATATGAGTGAAAAATGGAGGTTCACCAATGTTACCCTGACAGACACTCGTTCATCTTTCAGACGCTTATGACTAGTATCTGCCACAATGGCAAACCCATTCATACACTGATGACCAGCCTCCTCCAACAGTAGATACTGCGTAGCCCTTATTCTGGACGAAGCCTCATTGCATATTCATTTTGTTGTCATATGCAACTCATGTGCTTTTCACATTTTTAAAAATCAACTTAACTTTTAACTTCGGTACAAAAAAGTGACTTTTCTTGGTAAATTATGTCAACTGGTTTAAATACTAGTATAAAAACATCAGAGACTAATAATTAACGAAATGGTTGCTACTAAATTGCCGGATTTAGAGCCCCCTTTCGCTGACGACTATGTGAATTTTACATAGTACTGAAAAAAGTCTAGTAAAACTGTGTTTACAAATTCTTTTTTATTTTCGAAGAAATGTTATGAATTTCATACAAAAACATGTTGATAAAGTGAATTTTTTCTTCTTGTTTCTTCATACTTATAATCAAGAATCATGGAAGCTCTTGAGTCGTTAATTAACGTTTGATCCAAGTCGAGGTCACTTGAATGAAAGAAAAATATTTATATTTTTCTTTTCTAATATAACCATTTTGTAAACCTTTAATTTTGATTTTGCATTTGTAGAAGAACAAACTACATGATCCGCAAAAGCCAACCATCTGCTTCTTATTTTCCCACTTCCTTGAGAAGTTGGATACATCAGTCAGACAGAGTGCTTCTTGTTGCAGAGATAAATATAAAATGGGGCTCAACATTAACATTTGACCGCTCGCCAGTGTCCAGTTCATGTTGTGATCGGACAAATCAAACTCCACAAACACGTGTCCGATCGGACAAGTAAACTTTTAAAAAAAAAATCTTTATGGAATGAATCATTGAGAGACTGATGGTAGAATCAAGATTCAAAATATAATTATGTTCCCCAAACGAAGTTTGGGAACATGTTGTTTTTACTCTGTTTCTTCTTCTTCTTCTTCTTATTATTATTATTAAGGTCTTCCGTTCCAGACGGAAGACCTTATAGTGATTGTACTGTTTATTATTATTATTATTATTTTCCCCTTTTTTTGTCGGCAGGATTTCTCAGAGATGACTAAATGGATTTTCCTGAAATTTTCAGGGTTATTCTTTTTTGAATTTTTTTTTTGCATCACATTATTGCATCTCATGTGTAGTTTCGAAATATGTCAGTCCCACCGGAAACAAAAACGACAACTTCCGGTTAGAAGAGGAAAACTACATAATTTGAGTATTTTACTTTCCCTTAAATATCTTTTATAGATAAAGTATTTGAAAAGATTTTTAGATATGTTATTCAGACTGCAAATGTCTAGAGTAACGTCAAAAATCTTAGTAAAATTCACTTCCGGTCGCGTGTTTTTCCTGTCCTCAAAATGAAAAGTTATCTCAGCGAGATCTCGGAAACGTCATGAGATTAAGACACCAAACTTAAATTAGTAATAGACCTTGAGGAGTAGGCAAAACACATAGGGTTAGACGCGTCAGCCGTCACTTCCGGTCGTCACAGGAAGTGATCAAAAAATCGAAAATTTCAACTTTTCTTTATAAAATTAAAACTTGCATCACTTTGTTGCATCTCTTTCGTGTTTTGAAATATGTTAAATTCCACCGGAAACAAAAACTGTAAACTTCCGGTTTAAAGAGATAAACTACGTTATTTCGATGTTTAGCTTTCTCATAAATATCACTTACAGATAAGTATTTGAAATGTTTTTGTTTTGTTTTGTTTTTTTACATATGCTGTAGATACTACAATTGTCATGAGAAAAATTCAGAGATTCTTATTCAATTCACTTCCGGTCGTGTGTTTTCCTGTCCCCAAAATTAGAATGTGTTGTCACAATTGCTCGGTAAGAGTAAAAGAATGAAGTCTAAAACTTTCAGGAATTATAGTCAGTCATCAGTTCATTTGCATCGTGTAAAAATCGTCTGTCGTCATTACTTCCGGTCGTGACAGGAAATGAAGAAAAAAGTATTTTTTAAAGTTATTTTGTTTCTACATCAGTTTTAGGCTTAAACCGACGTTGGAAAAGACATGTTCATGCAAACAGGAAGTAGTATAACGGAAGACCTTCTCATTACTAGTAATGAGTTTCTAGTTATTATTATTATTATTCTTTTTTATTCTTATTTCTTCTCCGGTACTTTTTGTTCCGCGAGTGTTCTCGGAAACTGCTCATCCAATTGAGTTAAAACCTTTTTAGGGTTAATAGGCATGTTGTGTAGATGTGCTCGTCGAAGGTCATTTTGCGCGCACATGCATGCACGTGCGGGCGCGTGCAATGAGTGAAATGACTGACATTTTTCATATAGCCGTAACTTTTACATTTTTTGATGAAATGCTTTGAAACTCATAACATAAGGATATATTAGTAGAGTAAACAAGATAACATGGTCAAATTAGCATGAACTCACGAGCGTGCACGTGCACTTCGCTCTGATTGGCTGAAACAAAAGTCTCAATATCTTTCTTGGTTTCTGACAAAATTCTTTGAAATTTAAAACATAGTCAAACATTAGGAGGTTCTACAATATAATATATAAGAATTATCATGAAAACATGCGCGTGTGCTGCAATCTGATTGGCTTAAATTTTAAATGGCTATAACTTTTTTGGTTTTCAACAAAACAAGATGAAATTTAGAATATAAATAGGTATAATGGATTCCTACATTATGTTACTATCAAAATTGAATGCAAGAACATGCATGCACGTGCGCGCGCGTGCAATACGTAAAATGACCAATATATTTGATATAGCCGTATAACTTTTAAATTTTTGATGCTTTGAAACTCAAAATAATAGAAATATATTTTAAAGTGTAGACAAGGCGATATGGTCATCATGCATATGCATGCATGTGCGCGCGCGTGCAATGCTAAAATGACCAATATATTTGATATAGCCCTAACTTTTATACTTTTTGATGAAATTCTTTGATACTCAGTTTTATAAAATATATTTACAGTGTAGACAAGATGACATAGTAATCATAAACATGTATGCACGTGCGCGCGCTTGCAATGCTTAAATGACCTATATACTTGATATAGCCGTAACTTTTATATTTTTTGATGAAATGTTTTGATACTAAGAACACAGAAATATATTAATCTAGTAGACAAGATGATATGGTCAACATGTACATGCATGCACGTGTGCGTGCGTGTTATGCGTAAAACGATTAATATACTTGATTGCCTTATTTAATGCAGCTTACGGGAAATAAGACACCAAAAGGGAGTTGGGGAGCGTTTGGGGAACATCTGTAACGGTCCCCGTTACAATTATAACTAGTTTGTTATTGTAACTCATTGTATTTGAAACAAAAATGCATTCCCAATTAAAAAAAAAATCAACTCTGAGCCGGTTTGTTTATTGACCATTAATAAAAAGATATGGAGTTAGGACAAGAGGCCCAATGGCCTTTACGGTCACTTGAGTATAATGCAACACTGTAAATAATCAATACATTGAATAAAAAATAAAACAAAATACGCTGATACATGCAAATGAAACTATGTTGTCCAAACGCAAGAGAAACGGGCAAATCAGGTATCAGTTAAATAATTAAATTAGTGCTCAATTACAATTCTTAAAGTTAATCTATTTACTTTCCAGTACTTGTCCCCATTTGTCACTATCCCCATGCAGACTAAAGAAAACAATATTTCTTAAAGTACTATCAGTAAAACCATCTCTTTCCCTCTCACAATGGCCTCTCTTGGTCTTTGAAGAACATTAAAGGTACACTGTACAAGGATGAGGTATTTTTGTCCCATTTTTATTTATCTATTATTTACAAGTCTAATATTGAAACGTCCTTTAACTTTTCATGTGTGCTTAGTAACACTGCCTTCAATTACTTTTGCTATAACAATATCTCATTGCTTGAAGTTCAAATTCTTTTTAGCATATTGTAGAATCTAAAGCTAGGGAGAAAATTCAAATCTGAGTTGACATAAACCTTTCATCTAAGCACTGAAACAAATAAAATGGAGTTGTCTTCCTTCCACCATATTAAGGTCTGGCCAAT